ACGTCTTTGGAAACTACCTAAATGTTCGAATTGAATATTCGTTTCTTGACAGAGAGTGTTCTTGGAGTCTAGACTTTTCGCACTTCTCTAAACAGTACCCATTATATGAGAACAAAAATGTGAATAATATTCTGATGTACGTTTTTTTTAAAGGAGGTGCTTATATAGCCACTTTATAACACAACATAGTGATAACTACCTAGATACCAGTTTACATTTGACGCGAATTGAGTTGTTTCGTACTGTGCTTAAATACTTTAATGTAAAAAAAAGCAAAACAAGTTATATATAAAGGGGGGAAATTGCTATATTTCTCTCTGATTGATGGCATTAAAATGTAAACCTGCTAAAGATTTCAAGCAGCCATGCATTATTGAATGATGTAATTGTCTTTCTTTAAGTCTGTTGTGTCAGTTGTCTTATACATGTGTACTGTCTAAATTATAAAATTAAGGAAAAACAGTAACCAAATGTAATAATAGAAATTCTGAACAGCATCGTCGACTAGATATATTGTGGTTCCATATTCGGTATGGTATCTGTCAATGGAAAGTTTGCTTTGTAATATGTGTATGTGTTGTTAAATAATAACCGATGTTAAAGGTTTAAGGTGCAATCTATTTAAAAAGCATATATTCGTTCCAGCCATGTATACTTTAAATGGAGTCTCTGTAGACAAACAAAAACGAGAAATATTAAACGGTGCTTGAATAAACAGTGTGTTGTTTCTTGGCCTGAGCAGTTTACCACCAAATGAGTGGCCCCATGATTCGTTAAAAGACAGAGATAGTATCATTAACAGCAGCAATTAAATATAAATTATTTCAGAATAACAAATACATATTTTTATATTACAGTCCATTCATCGACATCCAATCTGTTTTTCACCGAAACAAATGAATACATAATTTTTGTCCACGAAGTGAGTACATTTTAGACAGATTAAAACCGAAGACGGCAACGTCCTTTGTGCACATTACGGTCACTTGGTTATCGTTGACAAGAATATTTTTAAATAAGACCGTATTTGCAAGCAATGCATCTGAATTAAGACGAAGGTTAGGTCGATGATGGGCTAAAGTTCTCATGAAGCAAGCTGGACCCGATGCCTGATTGAGCTCATTTCCCTTTCAGAAGAGTCTAAGAAAAATGGAAAAGATGAGAACATAGTGAGCGTAGTCTCTGGTTTCATAACGAACAAAAATTGTAATTCAGATAAGAAGGAACCGAGTCGTTCTTTCATCGCCGAGCTTGGAAGGAATATTCGGACAGGCGCAGACTTTATTTGTAATGCATGCAGTGCGGCACTGTAACTCGTAGCTCGATCCCCCACGAAATAGAGCGAACACATTGCCATTTTTAAAATGTAACACATTCAAGAAACGAGCAAACTAGAAGAAATGCAATGATACGTAAACCAGAATTGATTCGTTACAATAATCGCCTGAACGCGGAAACTAATGATTTCTGTGAAAAAAAACACGAATTACAAACGAGTGTTATGATCATAATATCGTAGCTTCAGAAATTAGAAAATTATTTTTAAACCGTGGAAAATATCTTTAATAATTTCACAATTTTAACTTGACTCTTTGTTAAAAATGGCGTCTAAGACCTGCCTCCTAATAGTCATGGGGAAATGTCATAAATCCGTTGTTGTTTTATGAAAATTTACAACTTTGCAATAGAACTTTACGAGTTGTTCGGTTTTTCCATTGGCCACTGAAAGTCATGTGGAGTGTAACCGTGAACATGAACTTTTTATAATTTCCCTTGCGACTATAGAACTGCATTCTTTTGCTAAGCGCGTGTTGGTTCGGATGTGAGAGCTTGCGGGCTTTCAGCAACGCATATTTTCTTCTTTTTACCCCCTCCGAGCGCAGTGATTATTCGCCTATGGAGTTTCAATGCATCCAAGCTTTCAGCACAGATCCCGTGGCTGGCAGCTACGAATTTCTCCACGGAAGGTGGAGCATTGGATTAAAAAGCGCCGGCTCTGATCCGCAGGGCAGTTTCCTGCAGGTCGTCACCAAACGCCGCTGGCGGAATGCGGGAGCCAGGGGCCTGGGATGGAGCTGAACGGACAGCTGTCAAACTAGACACGGGCACTGCAAACACTGACACTGGGGCTCAATAAATACGACAGCCGGTCTGTGCAGAGCCCGGACTTGTCAGGCCGAGGGGGTGGAATCAGCAGCAAGGTAAGGCCCATTCTCAGCGTTGTAGCTCTGCAAAACACAAGCATTTTTAAAATGCCCTTTAAGCAAAGTTATTGTAAAAGCCAACCTTTAAAGATCTTTAATTTGCCAAAGTTAAAGAGCATCAGGCTAAAAGTGCCGATGACCTTTGAATTGTGATAACTCGAAATGTAGCGCTAATTGAGCATTCATTGAGTGTAATCTGACCGTTTTAAGGACAGTTGTTATGCATTTGCAATTTTTTTGACATCTATTTGTTTTGAAATGAGTGTGGATAATGTTTTTGACGTCTTACGTTCTGGTTGTTTCTGGCCAACAGCCGATCTGTTCGTTTCAAAGTGTTTTGCATAAGGATCAAATTGACAAAAGTAACACACGAGCATTGATTCAGTTTTTAAATGTCATGTAGGGGGAATCTGGGGGTGAGGTTCGTTGTAATGCAATCTATTGCAGATTCATTGCAGTTGAAAAATAAACTATTTATTCCATTTGAAAATAAATAATCGGTTAAGGTGACCGTTCTTCATTTAAATGATTTATTTCTTTTGAATTGCTGTTCTTGCTTCGCATAGTTTTCGTTTAAGATGCAATAAATTTTAGTATCTACTTCTGTTATTTTGTTCAAACATTTTCTGGTAGAAATCTAATGTATGATTTAGTGATTATTTGTGAATCATCATCCCTAGTTATTTGTGGTTAATTTCAGTGCTGCAGGCTGCTCAAGAATGAGAAATGATCAAAGATATTCTATTTCGGGTCTGAGCATGCAAATTTGCTGTCTGTTGTTTTTCTTACTTAACGCGGACGTTGTCTTTCTGACACTAAGGCACTTGGACCTGTCTGACTGAGGATGTGTGTGTTCGTTTGGATATTTATTAATGTTGGCTGTCCTCTTGGACTCGTTGCTGCCACCGTGTGTTTGGAGTGTGGTTAAACTTGTGGTGCTGCTGCACAGCGTCTCTCTTGGTCATGTGTTACTGATGAAGTGGTTGACTTGCATTCTTAAACTAACCGTTCAATGTGTTGCTTGGTGGATATGTCCAGTAATCAGCAGTTTGCTTGTACAATACCACACACTGAACTCGACTGAAATAGCATTTAAAGCGCTTTTGCATTAAATTATTTGTTGCCGTTTAAAAATGAGTGAAACTGTGGGCTTTGCTCTCAGAAACGCGAGACATCACGCGGTGTATCACTTAGACTATATTAGGCTTTTGAGTGCAATGCTTGTACTTATGAAATGCATTGCGCCAATTAGTTATTTGATCCGTATTGATGGTTAGTAAATGTGCCATAGATGTGCTAAAGTTAAAAGTCAAGGTATGCGTTTTCATGGATCGAAATGGACAAATACAGTTTGTTATTGATAAAGACTGAGAAGTAGTAAGCTTGCTTACTTTAAATCTACGATGCCTCCTTAATTATATCGTTTAAGCGTGGTAACAACCCATATTTGTGATATTAGAGAGTTTCTATGGAATTTGTTTTCCTGGTGTAAGAAATATGAAATCGAATTTAACGAAGAATTTGAATGAATCCCGATACCATAACAAGAAACAGTGTTGTCAGTGAATCGTGAGTTTAATGAATAGGCCTGTTTAGTTGTGATAAAGCAATGCAGAGTTATTGGAAGCTTTCAGAATGCAACCACTATTTATGTAAAAGATAGCAAAAAACGTTCGATCATTTAAACTCTCGAAGAACCACGGTTCTGGAAG